AGTCCATTATGTCGATTACGTCCCTCAACACACTGTGTTAGTCCATTATGTCGATTACGTCCCTCAACACACTGTGTTAGTCCATTATGTCGATTACGTCCTCTCAACACACTGTGTTAGTCCATTATGTCGATGAAACCCCTTAACAGGCTGTGTTAGTCCATTATGTCGATGAAACCCCCTCAATATACAGTGTGAAGCCATTATGTCGAGTAAAAACCTCAACACACTGTGTTAGTCAATTATGCCGATTACGTCCCTCAACACACTGTGTTAGTCCATTATGTCGATGAAACCCCTCAACAGGCTGTGTTAGTCCATTATGTCGATGAAACCCCTCAATATACAGTGTGAATCCATTATGTCGAGTAAAAATTCAACAGATAGTATGAACACATTGTTTACGAAAACTCAGAAATTCCAGAGTTAGGGTTAACGGCATAAAAGTTGTAATACCTTTCAAAAATATTAATAATAATTTTACTACTATGAAAAAAAAAATCAATAACTTACGCTTACGTTATCGTATGATTATTCATGTTGTTACACAAGCAAATTTTGTTTATGCGGTTTTGAATTATTAATTAAATCAGCCTCTCGAATAAAATGTCTTCTGCTTTATGGGATTTTTTTTATCGTAGCTTAGTTGGTTTGAAAAGCATATTCTTTGGTAAATTATCGGAAAAACTACGGTAAGCTACTACTTGAGCTAATGGGCTTTTGAGCTATCGAGGCTCACCCACGAGAACATTTTCTAAAATATACAAATATACATAATATGAAAAACACTGCTAAGTTTATTTAATCTATGCGAATCACCAATTGTCTTGCAATGAGACAAAGAGAACCATTTTTTTTGTATGTTACGTGTTTGTTTATTTTAGTGTAAATACACACAATAGGCTAACAGCACTCCATCCGTAGTGGGGAATCTAACCCTGAATTCTAGCGTGTAAGATTGTAAACGTACCACTTCCCCATCTCTTCGGATTATAGTTTGCCCTCCCCAATTAGCTCAGCTGCAATTCTTAGAACTTTTAACCCTCGAAATTGGGTTTCGACACTCGCGTGGGCACGATACAAGTACTCCATTGTGTAGCTTTGTATTAAAAATAACAAACAATCCTCATGTCTGAGAAAACATTTGGTATTGTAAAATGTAATGTCTGTCATTGAAAAGAAATAAATGAAAATTGCTCTCAAAGTTATATAAACGTGCAGTAAATTATTATATATATATACATATATAATGAAAATGAAAATGTATGAACAAAGACGTGTTTTGGGGTTTATTTTAAGTTATCTCCACGGATATCAAACTTCAAGTTCATAGAAACCACAGAGGAGTTTAATTTTAATATCTTTATTAATTTTTTGTTTTATTCACGAGAAACTAAATGATTGAATATTAACGCTCAAGGTTAAAAATTTAAATAAAGACAAAATATCTAGTTCAGTAATATGATAATTCCGTAGTCAATAAAAGCAAGGTTTTATCATAGGTAGGTGATAAACAAACCACATACAAAATTACAAGTGATAAAAACCACTTGAGAAAGTCAGCAGAGCAGATATAAAATATTCACAAAACCACAAATTTCATAAATCTCACTGACTGACTGACATTGTTGAAAGCTTCTAGTTGTGTAACAAACAGACTTACCATAGTTATAAGTGCTCCAAATAGAACAGTAGCACAATTGAATGAATGATACATAAGATCATATCACTTTGTATAAAAATAGTGCAAGATCAAATGGAAAAATATTTCTTAAAAATATATATTTTAATATATAAAAACATTACAGTTTATATCAGCCCAATTCGAACACTTTTTCCGTGCAATATTTCCGAGAAAAATCCCTTATTTAGAAAATGTTTACTTTCTCAATTTTTTTTCAATGAAGTATGAACACTACGATAAGTAACTACTAGCTCAACAGCCGCCTGTAGGGCAGCGTTTCTGCTAGTATAGCTAATGTATGAATTTCTGTTGTATTCTCATGCAACTACAAAAGGAGGGACAGATTGTCACGAAAAACAACAACAACAACAAAATACAAGTTATGAGTCCACCTGAATATTTGATTCTTCTAGTGTCATATAAATAGACTTTACAGTATAGTATTGCCTCCAATAACTGGATTCAGAGAAACCTCTAGTCATTGTATGATAAACATAACTACGTTTGATAAGTTTAGTCCACCTGACTTATTGTATACAGGACAGAGAAAATTAACGAAGTAGACATGGACCGGATGTTGGACACGCCCCTTATGAGGTTGTACAGAGGAAGTGTTATTACGCAACGCTCATTCCTACCTTGTTTCGTCACTTTTTGGTACACCCATTCCTACACATTCAATTTGTTTTTTTTAATATTTTTCCACTTGTTTAACTAGTAATAATATGTAGCCAAAAATGAAGCTGTATTGTTTTATTTGCTTATTTATTTTTTTAATGTAGCGCAAAGCTTTTCGAGAGTTATCTGCTCTGGCCGTCTCACAATTATTGGATATTGGGATTGACCGCCACTTTATAACTCTCCCATGGCTAAGCTACAAAACTAATAACGTTCAATAGTGCTACATTAACTAAATTTTTCAATTCTTAAAAGAAAATCCAAGTTTGTTTTTGTTCCTTTTTACAAAAACAGAATAAAATATACAAATTAATTAATTATTACCGTTTCAGTTTTTAAATGCAAATATAAATATAGACTGTTTAGATTTAGAATTGATCTGCTTATGATTTTAAGTTTAAAATACAATGAGTATTTTTTGATAAAAATTAATGGACTATTTTGTTATTTCGTATTTAAGTAAACCGCCATTCAAAGAATCAATATGGCCGATTAGTAACCACTGACCACTGACCAATGACCTTCAACTTGCTGTCGGTGTATCGTGTCCTTTCTCTTCTGAAGTCCACTCTACAACGATAGGCACCTTCATCGGCATCTATTACTGGATCTAACTCCAATGATCCTGGTGGATTTGATATCATTGTGACGTGGGCTCTGCTTGCGAGGCTATCCACAGAAGAGTGTCTTGCTTGATCAAAAGGAATTTTTCTGGCATCGAGGGTGTAAATTGGGGTTGGAGACTTATCCTTGTACCAGAGGACGAGAGCAGGTGAGTCGTCTTCAAATTTAGGTGTAATATTACACGGAAGACTAGTCTTCAAACCGGATATACCAGTAACCACTGTTGGGAAAAGGGGAAATATATCTATCATAATAATTAAGGAACAAAAGAACAAAGTTAGGACATAAAAAAGTTAAACTTAACAACAGAACCTGTTTTTAATTTTCTAAGATGCGGTGTCCTCTCTAACTACGTAGGAATTATAACATTTCATCCATTCCTTCATAATATGTGGTTAACACTAACTGTTTCTTTGTTTTACCTGAGCAACGTCATATTGGGCTATCTGCTGTGTGCACCGAGGGGAATCAAACTACGGATTTTAGCGTTCTAAGTCTGTACACTTACCCGCTGGCCCACCGGGAGCGAACGCTAACTGATGACGACTTCTTTAACTTTCACGTTTAGTTTATATTGAGGACAAGTTGTGTACAAAAGGTTACTGGACATTAGTGAATCAAGACATATAAATCAATGTAAAAAATTAAGAATTTCTTAACCACTGTACTTTTAATGGTTAAAAACAGTTTTCGTTTTCGTTTAACTGATAAAATTTCACATTTGCAAATAACTTAACTCTGTTCCCTGTTAAAGAGTGATATAAATATTGTTAACATGCCTGTGATAACATTGTTATAAGTAATGCATATCAGATGTGTTTCTTGAACAAACAATTACGATTGATTGAGTTAACTAGCTTAGTGGTTTTACTGCAAGTATTTTTTTTTTTTTTACATGTTAGTATGCATAAATATTTGGAAATAATCCCAATAATTAGTCAAATACTTCAGTAATACTCTGGTTTTTATAACTCCTCTTATTAATGAAATGTTTCAGAATATATTTGAAAATTATGTGTTGTATCAATATGAAAAACTTACCACTAAGTCTAACAATGAATGCTGGATTCTTATTTCTTAGCTCCTTGGTGGAAATATTTTCAATTTCATATCACGTTACCTTCATAAAATTCTATGCTTTAAATCAATCAATATAGTTTTCCATTCGTAAATCAGAATGTCTAATAAATTTCAGTTAATAAGTATTCAAGCAGTTTTTAAGCTAATATAAGCTAAGAGTGGTTTATATTAACTCAATTTATTTCAAACTATCTGAGAGCAAAATACTAAAGGCTAAGCCCTGAATCAGTCATAATATTTATATATTTAAAAATTAGATAACTTTTGCGGCTACAGAGTTTGAGCATTTCAAGTCATGATAAGATAGTAAGTTTCTTTGTAGAACGTCAGAGCATTTCTCTGTATAAAATATTTCATATACTACTGGTCACATACACAGTTCTATCTTTTTTTATGGTTTCCTATTCCTTAAGAAAGGTCAAGAGGGCAAGTTATTGAAAATATGTCGTCGAATGAAAATGATCAGTCTGACATTTTCAATCACCGGTTAACGTTATATGTCAGCTTTCTTGTCATCATTTCTTGGTATAGTTTCTAGATGTGTGACAGGTAGAACGTTTACTGGAATATAAATAAAAAAAATCTAGTCTTCAAGTAAGTCAGGCTTATTGAAAGCGTTTGAAATCTGAACATTATCAGAAGCTTTCTTTTGTCAATATCATGCAATGAAAACCTTATAAACTATTTCTTTTAAGTGGATTTTTACTGAATATCAATGTCGTAAATCCCCTCGATGAATTACTAGTGAGTTAGCAAAGTTTATTTTTGACATTTTTCGTTCAAGGCATCACTTATATAGTGAAAATATACCATAACAAACAGTCAATACATTCCAGAAATGTAAACTTTGTGAGACAAAAGAGAGGTGAGATTTAACCTACTAAAGAAACGTTATCTGGTTGACATCTTGTGCTTTTGTCCAATTTATACACACGCTTTGATATAACTTAAGTGAAGAAGAATAGACGAAAATAAACGTTGATTGCTAAGCATACACCTGATAGATTGGTAATTAGTTTTGTATACATCAGTCTCAAATCTTTTCTGTCCCTCAATATCTAAGCAAATCACTGAAAATAGAGAAGAAGCCGTTCAACACCTACAGTGTATATACTAACACAATTGTTTGGACATCCACGACAACGAAATTCACTTTTATGATACATTGTTATTCAATTACTTGTCTATTATGACTATTGATAGAGTGTTTATTAATACATGTATTTTTACGTCTAACTGATTAGCTTGCTCAAATTTCTTACAATATTGAAATTAGAAACTTAACTTTTAAGTTTGTTCTGTAATTTCTCAGAATAATGTGAGTATTATTGTTTCTTACTTAGATACTCCTGTGTGTTGTATCAGTTCTGGAGTTTCAAAACTGTCATGTATGTTATCAGGATAGCCTGTATTTTTGTCATTCCTTTATTAATTCTTTGTTGTACCTGTGTTAGTGTTTTGTCATTCCTTTATTAATTCTTTGTTGTACCTGTGTTAGTGTTTTGTCATTCCTTTATTAATTCTTTGTTATACCTGTGTTAGTGTTTTGTCATTCCTTTATTAATTCTTTGTTGTACCTGTGTTAGTGTTTTGTCATTCCTTTATTAATTCTTTGTTATACCTGTGTTAGTGTTTTGTCATTCCTTTATTAATTCTTTGTTGTACCTGTGTTAGTGTTTTGTCATTCCTTTATTAATTCTTTGTTATACCTGTGTTAGTGTTTTGTCATTCCTTTATTAATTTTTTGTTGTACTTGTGTTAGTGTTTTGTTAATACTTTGTTATTCCTTTAATGGTGCTTTGTTATCTCTTTGTTGGTGCTTTGTTATTCCTTTGTTAGAGCTTCGTTAATCCTTTGTTAGTGCTTTGTTAATCGTTTACTAGTTAGTCCATTGATAGTGCTTTGTTATAACTTTTTTATCGGTTTATTGGTGCATTGTTATCTCTTTGATGGTGCTTTGTTATTCCTTTGTCAGAGCTATTCAGTGCCATATTGTCGAGTCTTTGACACTTTACCAAGTAGTATATCAACAAGTTATTAGAGGTTAACCCATATTGGAGGGGAGTAAGTCACCATTTTAATCCCCCTGTATCACAGAAAACAGGAGTTAAGTAGGCATGGAAATAATTAACGTACTAACTTTTCTTTTTTATCACCTCTTTCTTAATATCCCTTACTCAACGACTCAGCTGTTTTATCAAATTAAATCCCGGGTTTCAATACCTGTGGTGGACATAACATAGATAGCCCAATGTGCTTATGGTATGGTATCATCTTGAATGAAAAATATCACATGGTTGAAATTGGGCCGAGCAAGGCTCACTGATTAGCGCGCTGGTTTATGGATCTGCAGGTCTAATGTTCACTTTCCGTTACCACACACACAGAAGAATGCACTACGTACTTTGGGTCTGTAGAAGCGTTATAAGGGTGACGAACAAATCCCACTATATGGTCAGACAATAGTAGCTCAAGAGGTAGCGGTGGGAGCTGTTGATTAGCTGCCTTCCATATAGTCTATCAGTTCAAGGTTAGGAAACTAAAGCAGATATCCACTGGCTAGCTTTAGTATATCAGTTCAAGGTTAGGAACGACTAACACAGATACCCCCTACCTAACTTTAGTATATCAGTTCAGGGTTAGGAACGACTAAAGAAGATATCCCCTGCCTAGCTTTAGAATATTAGTTCAAGGTTAGGAACGACTAAAGAAGATATCCCCTGCCTAGCTTTAGTATAATAATTTAAGGCTAGGAACGACTAACACAGATACCCCCTACCTAACTTTAGTATATCAATTCAAGGTTAGGAACGACTAACACAGATACCCCCTACCTATATCAGTTCAAGGTTAGGAACGATTAACACAGATACCCCCTACCTAACTTTAGTATATCAGTTCAAGGTTAGGAACGACTAAAGAAGATATCCCCTGCCTAGCTTTAGTATAATAATTTAAGGCTAGGAACGACTAAAGCAGATACCCCCTACCTAACTTTAGTATATCAGTTCAAGGTTAGGAACGACTAACACAGATACCCCCTATCTAACTTTAGTATATCAGTTCAAGGTTAGGAACGACTAAAGCAGGTACCCCCTGCCTAGCTTTAGTATATTAGTTCAAGGTTAGGAATGACTAACACAGATATCCCCTGCCTAACTTTGCACGAATATCCATAAATCAAGCGACGTTCAAATTAGGTAAAGTTTCCTAAGCCTATTAGCATACTTCGTGAGTTCTCACCTTCTAAATATTCCTACATGTAAAATATATTAAAAGAAAACAATGTGAAGTAAAAATAATCATAAATACAAATTAGTTTACTGCAAACAATAAAATATATTTACACAGAAGGTACACTTCACGCTAAAATCAATATAAAACAATAAAAGGAGAATTTCATATTGCATGAATTCAAAACATTGGTTGCCGAAACGTGCAAGGTGAATCAAACTGTTTTTAATTCAGGCAATATGAAATTTTTCTTTTTTTTATGACTTATCAGAGCTGGTAAAAACGAAGGTAACACTACGGCATTTGGCCTCACGCGCTTAATATAATTTTCCTTAGAAACTACTAAACATGCAAACAATAGCCACTGTTTTGTTTGTAAAGTTTAAAAATAAGATTTTGAAATGCATAATTGCGAGATATCGTGACTTATCGTTTGACTAAAATGAAATTTGATACTGATTTTTTTTTATTTGACTTACGAACTCTTCTAGAAGAAAGAAATGCCCATTGAACGAACTTGAGCTTGTTTACCATGAACTAAGATATATTCTTGAGTTATTTTTACGGCATACACCCTTTCAGTTAAACGCAAGAAAAGTCTAGTGAACGTGCAATCCAAACGTATATCAACGCTGACTTTAGAATTGGACAGAAAAGTTTTATGAACGCCTATAGTAAAAGTCGCTTTTTACAAATTCGTAATTCAAGACCAACATAGATTGATAGCAAAAATTCACGCATGTTTTACCTCTATTTCGTTTTATAAAGTTTTAGCTTTGGTGTATTTACAAGTTTGAAAAGAGGTCAAAGCTAAAGATAGGTTTAAATGTCATGGTGTGAGACTTTTATTACTGACTTATTTTGAATGAATCTACTCTAGTTATTATTCTAAAAGCGTGATAAAATTTATCTGTTCTACACTACGGGTGTTGAAAATAGACATACAGAGTTG